TTTGAAGTTGAATTGACGTTTTAATTGAAGTGAAGATGGTTTAGAGCAGAAGATTGAGAGATTTCTGGTAGTTAAATTTCCAGGAACTTGGTTTTTATGTGGGCTTGAAGTTTGGTTAGGTTGAGGAGAAACTGACTCCCATTTTCAAGGCTTTGCTATTGATTAGCTTGGCTAGCAGTTGGTCTGACCACTTTCCTGATGAACTCTGTCTCTGCAAGCTGTTAGTTTTAAAATGAACAAGAAGACGGCTTCCTCCATGTGACCTGGACAATTTCAAAGAACTTTTTTTCCAAAAAAGGATGGTGTATTGATTTTTCATCTTGTTTGTTTATCATTTGACACTTTCAATCTCATCCTGTCTAGTTTGCATGAGAAGCCTTTATAATGCAAATTTATGGGGTCTATTTCACATTCACCTTTGATACACACTTTCAATGTTCCATTTTTCCATGGTGAATCAGAAAGACAAGTTGGCTGGAATGCTATAGTTCTTTGACTACTTCTTCAATGGTCCACTATTAAACAAAGGGACGTGTGCATTTTCTGGACTGTGAGTGTTTATATTTAATTCAGTATTTGCTCGAGATTCAGAATTATCTAGCTCAGAATTCCGTAGGTCACATGATTTGTACAGATTGTTTAAAATTATAAAGTGTCATGTGCAAGTTGTTCTTGTAGTGGAACAAGACATTGATTTTCTCAATCAAGATCCTTTTTTTCCTCATTTGTCCTTATCCAATTCTTTATTATCAGAGTAACAGTTTTCCTCTTCCATGTTCCCTGTCTCTTTCAAAGTAAAATGTTAAATTTCGTCTGCCCTGTCCACCAACTTGTCTACGTCCTTTTGAAGTTCTGCTCTACCCTTCTAACCATTCATAATGGTTTCATGTTTTGGATTATCTACAAATTTAAAATTGTGCCCTCTACACTAAGGTCTACGCCAATAGCATCCATCAGGAAGTGCAGGCATCCCAACACTGACATACACAGATATGAGGGTCATCATCCAATCCTAAAAACATTAACTAACTACAGTCAGTGTTATTGTTGTTACTGTCCCTTCTGTTCCAGGAGCTGTAAGTTTGCTCATCCACGCTATGGAGTTTACTTACAATATCACACAGTCCACAATTTTAATTGGAAACCTGCAATTTTAAAAGTTATGTCGTAATTGAGCAATTATAAAGATTTAATGATGTTACTGACCAAACAGAAAAATCTCATCTCATGTTTTAAATACTTTGCTGGGAGGTAGATGTTCAATGATAATGTTGCTGGACTAGTAATCCAGAGGTCTAGAGGACACAAGCAACTGGTGGAATTTAAATTCAGTTACTCAATCTGGAATCAAAAATTTTTCTCAGAAATGTTCTGGGGGCTTGTATTCAAATCCCACCATGGCAGCTGGTGGAATTTGAATTTAATGAAAATCTGGAATTAAGAGTCTAATAATGACCATGTAACCATTATCATTTTGTTGGCAAAACGCATCTGGTTCACGACTGTCCTTTTTGGGAGGAAACTTAACTGGTCTGACCTACCTGTGATCCCAGACCCACAGCAATCAGGGTGACTCTTAACTGTTGGCTCGGCAATTAGGGATGGACAATAAATGCTGCCCACATCTCATCAATGAATTCTTTTAAAAAGTGAGAGTAAATGACTTTGACATCAAGGCAGCATTTGACCAAGAGTAGCACTGAGGAGCCGCATCAAACCTGGAGTCATTAGGAATCGTGGAGAAAATTCTCCACTGGTTTGTGTACAACTAACATAGAGGAAGATGGTTGTGGTTGCTGGACATCAATCAACTCCGTCCTGGGACAACACTGCAGGAGTTCCTATTGTCCTAGGCCAATCATCTTCAACTGCTTCATCATCAACAGTTGTCATCCCCACTCTTTTCCCCCCATCACTACTATGATAAGGTCAGAATTGGGAATGTTCACTAATAACTGCACAACATTCAGCACCATTTACGACTCCTCACATACAGAAGCTGTCCATGTCCATACACAGCCAAACCTAAACAATCCGTAACCTTAGCTTATAGGTGGAAGTAACATTCATGACACAAGTGCCAGATACTGAATAGCTGCGGCAAAAGAGAATCTAATCTTCCCTTGACATTCCATAGCACTACCATTGCTGAGTCCCCCACTATTAATATCCTGGGGTTACTAATGATCAGAAACTGAACTGGACTAGCTACATACCGAGGCCAGAGGCTGTGAATGGTACAGCAGGTAACTTGCCTTCTGACTCAAGCCACCATCAACAAGGCACAAATCGAAAGTGAGATGGTATTCTCTCCACGGGTCTGGATGGTAACCCAGCAACACTCGCGAAACATCCAGAACAAAGCTTGATTGGCATCTCAGTCACCTCCTTGAATATTTACTCCCTTAGGTAGCAGTGTGTACTGTCCACAAGATGCTCTGCAGCAACTCACCAAAAGCACTTTCCATGCCCATGTCTTCTAACACCTAGAAGGACAGGGCAGTAGCTATATGGGAACACCAACTCCTACAAGCTTCCCTCCAAGCCAACACACTTTGGGTGGAGGGCTGTTGTGGTACAGTGTAGTGTTCGTACAACTGATCCAGGAGGTCTGGATTCAAGAGGTCTGTAAGAACATCCCAGACAAGGTTGATTTTAAAAAAAAACAACACACACTTGGGGTGTAACTATCCTCCATAGATGGCAGTGGTTCAAAAAGACAGGGCCTAAAGGGGAATTAGTGTTGGGCACTGAATGTTACCATGTCCACATCTTGTAAATGAATTTTTTTTAGAAAAACTAAGTGAATTCCAACTTAATACAATAGCATCTTGTTCAGAATCTTCAAATATCGAAGTACAGGAAGGAAGCTGCATTGCAGCATATATTTCACCTATAGAGTCACTGGATGATGTACCAACAAGTCCATGGATGATGTTCCCTCCTGTGTTTACCCCTATTCTGGGAAAATATCTGGCGTCTGCTATACTCAGCAACTGTAATCAGGAGCTCACTATATCAGGAAATAGCTCGCAGTCGTGTCTTTCCACTGTGACACAGCATAACAGCATGCTGCCATTGATGAATATTGTATTTTCTTGGCCAACCAATAAATGACTTGCCTGAGGCTGTGTACTTACATAGCTTATCAGCTACCTCTAGTGGCAGTGAGCATGTAATTGTACATAGAAAAGTATTCTAAGTAGCAAAAGCATTTACGTTCAACTGTTAAAGTTATATGAAGATTTTACTTTCTAATTGCTAGCCAATTTATGCAGCATGTTGGTATTTTCATGAGTGAAACTGGTTTAAAATAAAATTGCTTTCTTTGGATTGGATTAGAGCAGAGTTGAACCAATGGCCTAATTTTAGCTACCCTCACTCCCAGCCTGGAGAAACAAGGAGATGGTGGTGGGTCTAGGCCCGAAACATCAGCCTTCCTGCTCCTCTGATGCTGCTTGGCCTGCTGTGTTCATCCAGCTCTACACCTTGTTATCTCAGATGGTGATGGTTGTTGCTTATGAGGGTAGAACTTTTCTTTCCAATGCATCCACAAAACATGAGTGTTGCTGGCCAGACCATGGTGGCACAGTGGTTAGCACTGCTGCCTCACAGCGCCACAGATCCAGATTTGTTTCCAGACTTGGGTTATTGTCTGTCTGTATGGAGTTTACGCATTCTCCCCTTGTCTGCGTGGGTTTCTGCCGGGTGCTGCAGATTCCTCCCACATTCCAAAGATGTGCAGGTTAGGTGGCTTGGTCATGCTAAATTGCCCTGCAATGTCCAGTCACATGCAGGCTAGGTGGATTAGCCATGGTAACTGTAGAGATACAGAAGTAGGGTGGGGATGAGTCTCGGTTGGCTGCTGTTTGGAGGGTGAGTGCAGACTTGACAGACCAAATGGCCTCTTTCAGCACTGTAGGGATTCTATGATTCTATCTCTGAATGGATTCGAAGGTGCTGATGAGAGAACTGTTTTACTCCATTCTCAGAACAGTTTGGTCAAGTGATTTGCTAGGTCATTTCCAAAGGCAGTAAAGAGTCAACTATGTTTTTCTGGGTTCTGGAGTCACATGCAGGTCATTCTGGGTAAGCAAAAAAAAGTTAATGAATCAGATGGGTTTTAATGACATTGCATTATTAGATTATTAGTCCAAGACTCTGCATTTAAGTTACGTATTATAGGGTTTTTCACAAGGTAACTGTGGAAGGGATTTTCCTAAGGGAGAATCTAGAATGAAGGGTCACTGTTTAAAAATCAGGGGTTACCCACTTAAGACAGATTAGACAGAAAAGATTCTCCCAGATGACTGGGTTTCTTTAGAATCCTTCTTGAAAAATTAGTGGAAGCAGAGCTTTTTAAGGCAGAGGTAATTAGATTTTTGTTAAGCATTTACTGAAAGATTCTCCACAGTAGGTGGGAATGTGGATTTGAGGTTACCGTCAGATTAACCATGATTTCACTGAATGTCAGCAGGCTTAGGAGGCCGAATGACTGCTCCTCCTGATCTGTATATTTGTTGCATAACCACAAAACTGCTGAACCCAACCATCTGATCTCGCCACATTCCTGCCCTGTCCTGATGCGAACTTGTTACTTTTGCTCTTCTGTGGACCAAGAAGAGCTGCTTTGGGGACTGTTGAGGAAACCATGGGCCTTCCATCATCCCCTAATCAAAGGCAGAGCTCCATCACGATTTACTGGTTGTGACCCCCTTGACACCAAACTCTCACTGCCAGGTAGCTGATTTGTGCAGGTTTAGGCTAATCAGCAAGTCTAGACCGATGGCAACAGCTCTTTGCTGACGATAGTTGCAGGCTACACAGCTGCTTTGGGACTTGCCATCCACACAGGATGGTGCATTTGTCTTTGTTCAATGAGATGTTTAAAGTTGGCATAATAATTGCTTCACCACAGTAAAAGACCTTCTGAACAATTAGTGTATGTTGTAAGTGATTGCAGAGTTTTTTTCTGCTCAATCTGTCTTTTTTTCCCATAGATTACTATTCGACAAAGAAGAGATATACATGCCCAATCCACCACAGCAGAAAAAAGTAGTCTTACAGAACGGAAGACCTAGAGATGATTTCAAGGGACTAAACATCACTTGGAATAAAACTGCCTTGGGTTCATGAAGAAAATGTATTATGAAAATTTTTTGTATGCAAACCTTTTTGTTCAGCTATAGCTGATCTACAAATTGGATGTGAAAATGAATCACAATTCGGGTACAAATTACACTAAACAAAACAATTGTTGAGCAGTAGACTGAGACTCCCATCATTGAACAGCTCATTCTATTTTGACGTTGGATTTCTGGATTTAATTTTTCTGAACTTCCGTTGGATGCTAAAAACAAAATCTAAAACTTGCAGAAGAAAAACGATTAACTGAGCTCTTACAACCTGACTGTTGCTATTTGTATCACAAAATGATTCCCATATTTTCTACTGCATGCTGATTTTGTGTGCAGAGTGAATTTTAGTAGCTGTTTCCTCAGTGAATATTGATATATATTCTGATTTTTTTTGTTCTTATTTTGGAAATTGTCTTCTTTTGCAGTCTTTGAGTGATCTCTACCTTCAAATAAACACAGTATATTGCCCAGCTACAATGCGTTAAAGGGTTGTAATGTTGACATTGTCAACACTGTGTTCAAATCACAAATATCATAACATTAGCTAAGGATCAATAACTCCCAACATCTGCTTTTATACTGAAAATGAAACTAGGTAGGTTCCCCTCGGATAATCATGAAACCTGTTTGGTTCAGAAATGCAAGGTTGTAGACTGTCCACTAGATTGCATGGAGCAGGAATCAAGAAATTGGAAAAAGTATCACGCCTCACTACAGCATGAAATGTAGTTGGGTGGATAGCTTGCCCAGAATTGTTGGGAGTCCGATCTTTATTTTATTTTGTCAGCTCTGTTGTCTTTTGTAAATCTAACTTGTTTGAATTTTGATTGAGGATTATTCATTTATCCCATATTTAGATTTCTCTTGTCCAGTTCATCTATGTTGTTTAGCTGTGCAGAATTTTTGTTGAGACAGATGCCAAGAAGATTTTACTGTGTTAGTTATAAACTGGGCAGAATATCGTGAGATCTGATTTGCCCCTTTTTTGCTATCAGCAGAGGCATTATCCATTTCCTTTTTTTTATTGAAATGATTTTGCCTTGCTCATCTAAAGCAAACAAGTATCCCACAACTTCCATGGAAAATGGTTTTGCAGGAGTTTAGATGACTAATTTAAGCAAAAAAAAATGGAGTCTCATAGAAGATATGCAATATCAGAATTTGCAATTACTTATTTCAGATCAGCCTTACAGCCATAGCCTGTGGAATCCCAACTCCAATTTTGTGTCATGAGTGGAGACCAATTTGTCAGAGAAGGTGTGCAGCTTGTGGATGTTTAATTTATGTCAATTTGGTTGGACTAATATTTGCTCTAGTCCAATGTTTGGGTATGTAAATTATATAGACATCTATAATGAGAGGAATAATAACAGCCTTTTCTGTTGCTGAGACAGCCTTCTCTGCTTGTCATCCTGTAAAGAATGATTAATGACCTGATTTGTTAAACATGCCTTTTATCGTTTTTGTTTTAATCAGTGAATGCAAACTTCATATTATGTTCATTTGGTTATTCTAATGTCTAAAAGATTAGGTCTTCTACGTGTCTTTTCCCAGACTATGCTAATGAAGAAATTTTCAATCTACCATCTGGTCAGGTAACTGAGTATTTATATTATATTGGTGTTTTCCCGTAAGTGAGATATAAGTCAGCAGGACTAGACTCAGTTCATAATGGTCATTTATACAGTCAGTGCTCCTGGAGTTGGTGAAACAGTGGACTGACTCCAATGATTTAAATGCAAAATGCACTTCTCAATATACAACATAACCACAGAACAAAGGAAATTGTTGTTTGATCTATGGCTTGTACTACTGATATTTATTTATTATTCAACTGTAAGACAAACCATAGCTTTTGAAAAGTTTCCTCCCCAAATTCTCATTGTTACCTAAAATTGGACTTTCATTATTCATTCCAAATTGCCTTGAGAAGGTGATGAAAGCTATCACCTGGATTAGCTGGAATGACCCCAATGTAAGAGATTTTTAAAAATGATTATTTTCTTTGCAGCTGCCATGGCAGAGGGTTCACAGAGCACTAACCTCTATTACCACTGAGCATTGTTCTGATCCACCTGGAAAGTGTGCTGATTCTTGAGCCTCACTGCACCCCGCCTTGCCACAAAATTAATGGTTTAATCCAAGTACTGAGTCTTCAATTTATCAGTCTGATGGAACCATGTTAACAGAAAATACTGACGAGGTTCCTGTAATTAACATAACTATTGTTTATTGCAAATAAATAATTTCTAGTCGCTATCAACATTTAACTCTACCAGTTGAAATTCTAACTCCCTTTTTAAAGCCCTTACGTACGTAGAAAAATTAATTGGAGACTTCTGGAATTTTTGTAAAGCTTGCGGGGGGTGGGGTGGGGGGAACCCATAGCTTAGAGAAGGAGACTTATGGGTTTCAGCTTTTAAATTGATTGGGGCAATCCTGTGAAGTATTTATGATATGGTGGGTGTATAGACGAGTGCTTCCGAGAAGGGAACAATATATAGTGAATTTGTTTACATCAGATTGAAGAGTGTTAGTCCCAGATCAGAAGTGTCGGGAGAAAACCCTGAAGAGGTAACTTAAAGCTGAATATATTTAAGCAGGTGTCTGATACTTCAGTCTAAATGTTGAAGTGACAAATGACTTAAAACTACTGAGGGATTCTGGTGTACTATTGTATGAGTGGTGTTATGAGTACTCACCAGGGGCCGTGTTTTGGGTATGATACAAAGCTGTTCTGTTTCTTTTTGATTTATAAAGGACTGTTTTAAGATTAATAGGATTATAGTTTTACTATTTGTTTAAAAATCTTTTGCGTTGTCTTATAAGTAGATTTCGGTTTATTTTATCTTCATTTCTTTCGATAATATATTTCTGTTTTTTGTTCAAACAAGATCTGCAGCATTGTGTGTTTCTGTTTCAGTGAGAGATCACTTTGTGAAAAGCAAAACAATTCATAATATGGTTTATCAAGCCAGGTTTCTGTCTCATATCTGACTTGTCCAGTAATAACATTGGCTGGGATCAAACCAAACTCCTCTTTGAGATTACATAGGTGAAAATTTTCCCAGCCCTATACTGGGTTCAGCAGACATCACTGAAACTTTACAAAGACTTTTACTTTAATGTGTTCCTCTAACATTGGTTCCTTAGCAGCTGTAATATTCCACAGAAGATTTTGACTCTACTTTTAGATGTGAACATTTGTAACCAAACTTGCAGGAATACTTGACTCTGAAAACTGGCACCCTGATTTTTGCACGGACCTTGATTCTGGCTGGTAAGTAATGAAAAGGCAGGAAGACTGACTGCAGCCAATGGTAATGACACTTCACCTCTTTTTTTTATTATTTACACAGTTACCAATTATTTAAGGTGTTTTCAGTCACCTGAGTAGACAGGTTCCATTTGGTCCTTCGTAATCTGCAACTTCTTGCAATGTGTGCAGCTAAAACATACTCTTCAAGAAAACACGTACCTTGGATGTAATACACCCTTCTGAATCCATCATCTCATCCAGCACAAAACCACCAAAAGTTATGTATGGAATTGGCAGCATATTGGATCAATACATTGTACTTTAGAAGACAGAATGGGGACATTGGCCACACAGTTATTGCTTGATTTTGATATGCCATTAAGTATTGTTAAAACTGTTTGCCTTCTTATTTTACCAATAATGCTTGATACTGAAAAGATGAAACATTCAAAATATTTTGTAAGAAAATTAAAACCGGGGTTACATCTTATGTGTCCTTTGTTCCGGAACAGAATGAATAACATTGAAACAGGACTGGAATATTGACTCTTTATGCCCTTCTCAACAGCCTAAAAAAATGACAAAACCTTTCTTTCTGGGTGAGGGGATAGGGAGGCAGCCAGGTGAGATGTGAAGTTAGAGTGGGCAGGTCAGGTGATTAGGTTTGGGTGATAGCTAAGGAAGGGTTGGAAAGGAGTTGGATGAGAAGGTAAAGAGGTAGGTAAATGGGTAAGTGGTAGTGTGGCAGATCAGTGCAGTGAGGAGTTAGGATAATGTGGCTCAGTGGGTACAGGTAGCAGATAAGTGGATGGATGGTAGGATGAGTCAGGTATTGGGTGGGGGCTGGATCAGTGGGATGCTGAGTGTTTGGTGGCGTCAAGTTTTTGGGGCTAGGGTAGAGTGTGTTCAGATGTCAGAAGGAGGAGTTGAGTATTGGACTGTTGATCATGGTACAGGTTTTAGGGGTTAGTTAATATGAGTGATCGGGCATTCTGTAGCATTATTTTTTCTGGCTGGCTGTTAAGTTATGGTAGCTGGATGTCTCTGACTCTAACTCAAATTTGCAGAGGGTAAATGTGCTGATAAATGTACATCAGGAGTTTAAACCTCCCAGGCAATGACTACATAATCAGTGAATGACTGCTTAGAGAAGCCAACACACATCTTTCAGAGTCGATCTGCTCTTCGTGTATCCAAAGACCAGAAGGTCTTGGTTATGATGTTCTAGACCAAGCTTGTTCAGCTTTATTGCACCGGGGGGAGGGAGCGTATTTCAATTCTTCTTGCTCCGGGCTGGGATTAGTTGCCCTGATCAATTCCCATCAGTGTGTCAGAATTATTATTGATCCTTTAGTCTGGGTGTCATGCTGCAGGGCGGTAATTTCAACCACAGAGTAAAGGAAGTGGTCAGACTTACTTTCTTGAGGAGCAGATGTCCTGACGATCCCCCCCTTTGACTGATCAAAGGATGCTGTCAGCTCTAAAGAGCCTCCAAATGCTCCAAGATATGAAAGACACACTTTTATATACATATATTTTATATATTGTATATATGTAGAGCAACTTTCACAACCTCAGGAAATCCCAAAATAAAATACTTTTGAGAGCGTCATCATTGTTGTAATGCAGGATGTCATTGTAGAACACCATATACTGTAGGACATTTGTACAAATGATGTAGGTAGATAATTCAGCAGAGCTGACAATGAACTAGGCCCTAAATGCAAACTCATGATAGAAGCAGTCAAAGATCTTAAGCTTTCTGTCTATGTTAGGGAAAATTTTCAGTTTGAACCCCAAATGCTTGTGATCAGGCTTACCAATTCTTTTCTAATCACTACCTTCTACTGGCCAATTGCCTCAAGAGGACCAATAAGTTGGTGGGAAATATGGAAGTCAAACTTAAATGTTGATTCCTGAAAACATTGAGGAACAGGAATTCCAAAGGTTGGAGATCATCTGATTCACCAGTGGGAGATAGTCAAAGCAAGCATCTAGGAGTTCTTCATCATCAGAAGATGTGTGTGTGTGTGTGTGTGTGTGTGTGTGTGTGTGTGTGTGTGTGT